ATGTGACGTTAAATAAAGACGTAAAAAAATAAAAAGGTGAACAAAGAGGACGACATGTGTGTTTGGCCTGGCAAATTACATTTTCTTTGAAACATTACGGATTAAAGATAAAAACACATGAAATCAGAGGATATTTATTTATTTATTCATCAAATATCTCATTTTGTCATCAAAGCTGTTTTGACAAAAACAAGTTAATAGGTTATCTGAAGTTACCTCTCATCTTGTGAGGAAAGAGCCTGGAAGACATTCAAATTAGGGAGTAAAAAGTATAAAATAAATACCCACAATTGTACATAATATATTTTGACGTTGGTAACGTCATATGTTGCAGCAAAGTGCTGTCCCATTCGTATTTACACCATCTCAAGGCCTCACAGTCTCTCACACTCAACCACTTACCAGGTAACGTCAGTAAGTCCCTGACGGTTCAAGGTTTGAGGCTTTAGGGGGGACACTGGGATTGGGCCAAAGTTAGACTGTTGTTAACGTTGGGTCACTTGACTGACAAAGTCACGGCGCAAGCAAGTGTGAAGTCTGTGAAATTCGGTGGATGTTTGTGCACATAGTTACGTAGTTGGTGTCCTTGATTGTCTACTCGACAGTCTTCGCCCGGTTACTCGTTTGACATATCATATCTGCAAGGAACTGGAGATATATTTTAAATCAAAATTCATCATACAGTTATCTACGTGTACATGCTAGTATCGTGGCCAACTGAGTGTTTTATTAGCATTCATTCACATAGAGTTCATTGACTAAGCGGTACAGACCGTGCCTGTTTGTTTACTCAAGTACAGTTTTAGGTACTTGTAGCCTACTTTACTTTACTTCTATATAAATAGACATGACACGGCAAAAAAGTCAAACTATAAAAGAATGGTAAAAGACAGGTCCTTGATTCAAGACGGCACTAAAGACAGTCCCCCCTGGTTAACAGTTGCACCGGGAACTGCTGCAGGGAGAGAGGGCACAGAGTACAAGTTCACGGCCCCGGGAAGCGGTACAGTCCGGGCAAGGGGTGCTGTAAAGCTGACATGGCCAAAATCGCAAAGCCACTTTCACTTTCCGAACCATACTATAGCCGGTCGCTGCGTACCACAGCAGAGGAAATGTGCACTGATAGAGCCAGCCTATAGTATATAGTATATTACACGCATAGTGTAAAACTATTTTTGCTTCATTATGAAACTATGGCGGAGTAAAGAAGACGTCTAAGTAATTAATGGGAAACACTAATTGATGGCTATAACAATGTAAAAGGATGTAGTTGATGATGATAAATAAGCTAGAATGGAAAATTCTGATTAATAATTGTGAAAACTGTGAAACCGTGATATTTACTCTGACAATAATAATGATATCAAAATGTCATATCATGACATCCCCGATTACAGGCGTCACGTCTATTGGGGAATATCTTTGCCAATTTAGCGTTGGAAGTATATTTGGCAATTTTGAAATACCCCTAATGAAAGGAGAAAAACAATGAAATACAAAATTATCATCCATAAAAAGCTGAAGGGAGAGACACAGATATATACGTATATAAATATCTTTGGACTGGAGACACATATGTTGCAATACCCATAAGTGGCCACAATGTAGGCAGTAGGCACCATTTAAATGAGGACATGCTGAGATCAATACATTGTAGGGCTCAACCAAATGTCAATGTTTTCAAATGTGGCTTCAAATGCCTGTCGTCATATTTGATGTTGTCACCCTCAAAAAATTTGAAAAACATGATTTTTCTGTTATTGTAGTTGTATAATTTATGGTACTGTTAGATTGCCGATCGAACGGGCCTTCTTATGTGTGCGATGGAAAGCAAACAATTCTTTGACCGTGGGCAGAAATGTGGTTTTTGAAAGGCTAAATGCCAACAATTATGGATTATAGCAATATGTTAGATAAAAACATTTGGAAATGATTTCATCTATCTTTTTGGACTTTGGGATTGTGGAACTAGACAATTACATTGACTGTGTGAGAAAGAGAGGTGGACTATCGCCAGAATGTTTCTGTAGTTATCAATAATAATATTTTTAAATGTCAACGTTATGGATGAAGCATAGAACTATCTGGTCCAGCCCTAATACATGTATTACTCACCGTGATAGGAGATGGAAGTTTGCGGCAGACTTCTGTATTCTGTTGGATAGTGAGTGTTCAGACTGGAGCGGAGATTTGTGGCGTTTCCATCTTTTTTTGATATGCAACAACAATTTGGTGAAGCATAGAGAAAGCAAGAGAGAAATAGAGAGACTGAATATAACACAAGATTCAAACATGAGAACCATTGTTGTAGCAAACCAATAATGTCTTGAACAATAATCTTGTCGCATCGCCCAAGCCTAGTTGGTATCGTGGGTTCCGAGGAGCACCATGCACTGCGTTAGGCTATGCCTAGCACATAAAGATGATGAGTGCACCAGACCGAGGCCCACTAGATAGAGCTATGAGTTCCAGTTGTGGACCCTGACCACGTGGTTGACAATAGCTGCCCCAAACCATTGTCTTTCCCCTAACCCTAACCAATATCCAAAACCCGAACCCCATCCATATAGGTTTTGTGTTTTGAGTTTGAAAGTTGATTCTTGACCTTGGAAACCTTAATTTAAAACTAAAACAGTCCCAGCATGAGGTTAACTGATAAGCTGGTCTGAAGCTTTCTCCTTTTTTTCATCCAGCAGACATTTGTTTTGGTAAGGGAGTAGGAGAGAGAGAGAGAGAGAGAGAGAGAGAGAGAGAGCGTATTTGAAGCCTCTACAAAGCATGCGGCTGAGGGAAAGACTTATTGAAGATGCTCTACTTGTGATACTTTACCAGTGCACACCTCAGCTTCAGAATGGAGTTCAAAGGAGACTGCTACACCTGCCATTTTCATCTATTCATGTAGTTGATCACAGATGTGAGCAACAGACGACAACGGCAACCTCTAGTGACTGTAATAATTGTGACGGGAGCAAAAGAGGGAGTCAAGTGACGTAGTGTTTAAGCAACAATTTGCGTGTAGGGAGGAGGTCCGGGGTGGATGGACGGGTCAAACAAACCAGCAGAGTCTGTGAGGGTTTAGTTCTGTCCCACTGTAACATCATTGAGTGTTTGAGGGCCCTCTCGCAGACGTTTTGTGCCCTATATGAACATTTTCCATAAGTATGCTTTTCTTCAGACTTTTTCTAAGGGAATTACCCACAATTCATAGCAATGTGACTTTAAACACGGGTTCACCTGTGGAAGCCTGAGACGTAAAACTCACAACCATGTTTTAACCATGTTGTACCAGGTGACATCAGATAAGTCCCTGAGGGTTCAGGGTTAAAAGCTTTAGGGGGGACTTTGGTATTGGGCCAGGCTCTCGCCATCTTGGATTTTTTTGACTAAAGTGCAACCAAACTGACGTTTTTAGGCAACCAAAATGTTACTATTACATTTCATGAACTGATAACACACTATGAAAGGGTTAAGATGAGAACACGGACAACTCTCAAACCGGCGAAACATCTTGGTAGCGAGCTGTACTTATTGGTCATTTAAGAGAGAGAGAGAAAGGGAAGAGGTTACTAAGGGATGAAAGGGAGCCAGCCTCAGACACTCCTCAGGGAAACGCATACCAGTGGCACTTCTGCTGTGTCTGTCTCTAAGTGGCTCTAAAAGCATGCAGGAGACACCACTTCTGCTAATCTTAATGGCAGATCATCTGTCTTGTACACAATTCAAGTGGCTCTCACATACACACTCACACAGTCTCTCTCTCTGGGGACTCCTCTAAATGCCAGATGCCAGTTATTCCTATCCTGTCTCCGGCGCCCAGTTCAGTCTCAGTCCCTTTGCTCAGTCCCCTCCCTGCCTTTGAATCATCTAAAAATCCAGTGTGAGTCGCACAGGCTTCCGACCTTTGTGTATAAATCGCAGTGAAATTAATAGAAAATATTCAAGCGGAGCAGAATTTATAAAGAGTCAGCAGAGGGTTCGGTCTATCGCAGCACAGCTTTTGCCTCCTTTGAGTTGAGAAGGTGGAGGGTCTGGGAGGGAAGGGGATCCCGGCCTGTTTGGGGAGATGATTTCACACCCTCTGTTTAGAAAACACCAGCGAGGTCCAGATTTAAGCTCACTTAAGCTCAATGAACCCAGGAGTGACTGAGATCAGATTTATGACCCTTTATACAGCAGCAAAGGGTCCAATTGGATGACTCAACTGTGTATCGTGTGTGTGTGTAGAATTGGCACGTGATGACGTGACTTTTAAGGGAAGAAACCCCCAAAAACATTGTTTTTTATGCAGAGATTTTGACTATTTAGCTTCCATTGCATGAGCTCTTTCAGACGAGTAAGTACACATTAAGGTGCGTATTTTACATTTTTGTCTATTCACGTCTGTAGATTTATCCTTAATTCACCAAAAAGCTAGCTTTAGATAATGACTCATTTGCATATTTAAACATAACTGGGGAAGTTTCATGAGGATATGTATGTTTTTTTGTTTTTTTTACAATATTTACAATAAATGTAAAAACTTCTACCATACATATCTTTAACATTTTCTCAAAATTCTGAAGGTTTTCACTGAAAGGTTTGTTCATATCTCATTTCATGCCTAATTTATAGAACATTTTATTTCTATAGACATGGCATAAATAGAGGGCTGTTGACAGTTTTTTTTTCTGATTTATGGGGTGTTAAGAGATTTCCAAAATGCCTTTTAAAAAACCTTTGACACCTAATGTGTCAACAAAATGAAACAAGAATTTTGAAGGGGGCTTTATCCAATGTTCAAATTTATTTTCTGGAAATGTATGTACATGTCTACATATTTGATAAGATAATACCTTATTTGCATATTTAAACGTACATTTTCAGAAAACACGTCTTAAAGTAAGTCAACCGGGAAATAATATTATTCCCATGCACTTTCCCTGAATACTGATTGAATATAAAACTCTGTGTGTGTGTGTGTGTGTGTGTGTGTGTGTGTGTGTGTGTGTGTGTGGTATCAGTGTGCACAGAGTCAGCCCCAGAGAGCAGTGTTCCTGCCAGAGTTCGCCCTCTCACCACAGGGCAGCTTCATGGAGGATGCTACAGAAGATCAGCTTCTAACCTACAAGTATGACGACCAGGTCAGTCCCACACTCTTCACTGTGGCTGGGCCAGTCTGGGTGAGCAAAAGCTGATGCTCATATTTGAACTTGAATGTGTTTTTTCACCTACGGTTCATGTTATCATGGGGGGGCAGAGCTCCGTCTACAATGGGTTGTAGAGTGTCCTATAACAGGTTCCTGGTCAGCTATAACAGCAACGGAGAGGGAGTGGGTGGATGTTGTCTTCGCTTCGTAGTGTATGTGAATGGAAACGCATCAAACACGCTAACACACATTCACATTGACGGCATCACCCAGATGTTTCACCAAACTGCTAACCAACTGCTTATCCCCGCTGCTTTTAAACAGCCTTTATTAGCAAAAGGCAAAACAGGATGAAACTATTTGAGAAGTAAGTTAACATTATAACAATAGCACCTTTATTTTTAAACACATTTTGTACACGGGCAATTGGTGTGCTTGCATGAATAAAAATTAATATAATATGATTAAAACATAATACAAAGTTTATAAAATAGTAATTACACAGTTTTTCAGTTTCATAGCTTGTTGTGACATGTTACCTTCTGGGGAAGTGTTTGTTCAGTGTAATACTGAAGTGTTTGAAATGTTCCTCATTCTACAGTAAGAAAGGTTTACCGTAGTTGCGAGTGGGCAAAATGCTAACTCAGTCCCCAGCAAGAGGATGTGTCTGTGTTTGACACTTGTACTTCTGACATATTAGAATTGTAAAGATTGTCAGTGTGCAGTTGACAAAATTGCGAATGGAAATGGGTTCCAAAGATGCCATATATATATATATTCTACACATACACAATCATCACAGTACAAATGAGTAGATTTAGCTGAGTAGCACTAACAACCCAGCATCACTCTTTGTAACATCAGAATTTGTGGAATTTGTGTCCAATAAGATCTTAAAAAAGTCTCTAAGCGCCAATCAGTTCATTATTTTCAGTTTTCTCAAGTTTTTGCTTGATATCATGTTGCATCTTGTGAGGGTGGGAATCTTTGGATTCCTGCTTGGATTCAGAATCGATTCTTGATTCATCAAACTCAAGCCACACATCTCAAAATACGACATGCTGTCCTGAGCACCCACCAGAAATGATTAATTGATGAAATAAGTTATTGTGTCCAGCTGTCCAGTGTCTCTTGTGTTTTAAACACTTGATTTCATTTCTGTGGTGGGGAGAGCCATTTGGATTACGGAATGTCCCTTTAAGGTTTTAAAGGAGCATTAACGTCATGTCGAAATAATGGTCCAGTATAGTGTGTACAGAAGCAAACAGACTGCACTAACATACTGCTGTAGGCGTTTATTGCTGGTATGAGCAGCAGATGGTGTCGCCTCAGTGCAGCAGACTGGATTAGAAGCTACAGGTTGGTCGAGTAACAGGTTGGCTCTCTGATCTCCCTGTTCTTCACTACCTCAGGCTGTATGAGCTGGATGTGCTAAATGATGCATGCTCCAGTTGTTACTCGTTGGCAGCGCACTGCAGGTAGCACATTTGAAGTGTCAGCAGTGATGCTTTTTTGTGTTTTTCCCACCAGGATGGTAAATAACGCTCTCTCACATTTCTCTCTTGTTCACTGTCGGTCCTGCATTCTGCTTTATGCACACGTAGAACAGCAGCCAGCAGATTAGCGAAACAGGTGGCGCTCCGTGCATCTATAGCAAAAAAAAAAAGAAAAAGACGAGGAATACAGTTTCATTCCTGTGCATCCTAATCCAAAGAGGATCTTAGGGGTTCTTTTGATTCATTCTGTCAGTTGACTAGAGGAGCAACGGACCATAAAACCCACGGTTCAGATCGTCACAAATCACAGTGTGGATCCGCACAAAAGAAAAAAGGGAGCAAACATATTTTTAGAGATCCTCTTTCACACTTTTTTGCCAACGATACCAATTGATGATCATTGATGATCCATATTGGTAGATACAGAGTTTTTGTTTTTTGTTTTGTTGGTACGCAAGACTATATCAAATATTCTAAATGTTATCCTTTTTCTTTGTTGTTATCTATAGAAGATTTTATTTAAAAAAAGGTTTAATGATGTATTATCATTATATAATTAGGGCCCGAGCAACCGACAACGTCGGGCCAGCGAAGGCCCTATTGAAATTGTACCCGTTTAGGTAAACGTACACATGGTTGGAGGACTTGCCATGCATGAAAACTCACCAAATTTTGGGGATTTGTCAGGCCTGGTGAATATAGCCATCTGAAAAAGAATGCATCTTTCTGTGTAAAAAAAATGGCTCTCTAGCGCCCCCTACAAGTCGGACCGGCGACACCCCTTGGCCAGTATGTCCGATTTACTTGAAATTCAACACACATGACCATATCCGCTAGATCTAAAAAAAAGCCTCTCAGCTCCGCCTACTTAGATTTTCCGCCATCTTGAATTTAGTGAAAAACACATTTTTGCGAACTCCTCCTACACGCTGGGTCCGATTTCTATATAATTTGCTGTGGATCATTAATGGACCTATATGATCTAAAGTTATGAAAAGCTTTTTTATATATCTTAGCGTTTACAAGATGCGGACCAATGAACTTCTTAGGGGCGTGGCATAATATCAATACACATAACTTCTCAACCATTAGTCCTAAATTCCCAAAACTTTCAGCATATGTGCACATTGCATCCCGTAATAAAATCTGAGAATTTGTTTGCATTCGACCACTAGGGGGCGCTACAGTAAACCCGCAAAGGTGTGTTTTTTGTCACTTTTTGCATTTTTCAGCCTTCGCACTTTAACGAACTCCTCCTACAGATTTTATGCGATCAACTTCTACTTTGGTCAGGATGCTCTTAAGACCTTTGTGATTAAAAGTTATCAAAATCAAGAGTTTTCGTTGAAGAACCTTGACGTGGCGTGGTGGCCATTTTGCGTCATTCGGCATGAAAAAGGAAGTTGTTATAACTCCAAGGTACATTATCCAATCCGCACAAAACTTCTTATGCATGATGCTACTTCAAGCTTGAACATACTTCAATTAAAAAAAAAGCAATAATTCATAGCGCCGCCTACTGGCTAAAGGAAATGTCGTATTTTATACTTTTAATTATTCCTCCTAGCCAGGTGACCTGATGAGTCAAATTTTTGGTAAGAATAGCCTTAAGACATTGATGATGCATCATCATGAATTTTGTGAGTTTTCGTTGAACGCTGTTGCCGTGGTGACGCATCGTTCGCCATGAAAAAGGAAGCTGATGGTTTAGTGGGTTGGGATGCTCAAAAACTCATAGAACTTTGTACATGTGTCACAGGTCATTGGAAGAAATAGTTTATATGATGTTTTTTATTGGCCGTTTTAAATTGCCTCTATAGCGCCCCCTACAATATGTCAAAAGAGCAGCCCCAGCGCTACATTTTGGCTACATGTATGAAACTTGGTAGGCACATGTATCCTATGGAGACCTAAAAAAATGTCTCTTGGGACCATGGTCTAAACCCTACCGCAAGTTGGTCATTTTCAATTTTGTATGAATTTATACAATATTTCGACGATACAGCCCTCGCAGTACGTTTCACCTAGATATATAAAATTTTAGATGTATATCATTTGGTAAACAGATGTATCACATGTAGACTTACAAAAAAGCCCCCGGAGCTCTAAGCTCTAAACCCAACCGGAAGTCAGCCATTTTGAATTTTGTGAAAAAACACATCTTTGCGAACTCCTCCTACACGCTGGGTCCGATTTCTACGAAATTTGCTGTGGATCATAATTGGATCTAGATCATCAAAATTTATCAAAAGCTTTTTGATATCTTTTTGCGTTTACAAGATATGGACCAATACACTTCTTAGGGGCGTGGCATAATATCAATACACATAACTTCTCAACCATTTGTTCTAAATTCCCAAAATATTCAGCATATGTGCACATTGCATCCAGTAACATACCCTGAGAATTGTTTTTCATTCGACCACTAGGGGGCACTACAGTAAACCCGCAAAGCCTACTGGCTAAAGGAAATGTCTGATGTAACTCAGCTGGACTTGTTCCAAACGGTCCCAAACTTCACATGCTTGATAACACTCATGGCCTGAGGATGTCTACAAGCTAATTTTCCCTAATACTCACAGCGCCACCTGCTGGCAAAAGGAAATCAGCGTTTTTTGACAAACACCATCCGATTGACGTGACTTTTACACAATGTGGTTTACACTTGATATAGAGCTACATAATGTACGTGTTCTGTAGCACTAGGCAGCGGATACAGGAAGCATCGGACTATTTGCAAAGCATCATTTCCAGCATCAGGCGGTCCACACGGGATTAAAAACGTCTCACTCGCGGACGCGCTGTCCGACGGTCGCGGACGTTCGCGGACGCGCAGGCCGGAGTCCCGCCAGCACCACCGACGCGATGGAGGATGCGAGGGCCCATTCATCGCTGCTCGCAGCTTTAATTATTTTTTTTATTGCTGTGAAAACGTCTTCAAACAACTGGATTTATTCAAATGTCCAGAATCTACATTGTACAATATTACATTTGAACACATCACTTCAACTTCATAATTTACCTTCACCCAATACTCATTTTCACTGAACAGAGCTTGAACACATCACAATGTAAATGAATGGAAGCTCCGTATGTTAGCCGTCAGCGGTGCTGCCAGCATAACCAGCTCTCCATCTGCCAATTTAAACAAGTAATTGTTGTTCACATTGTAACTATATCGGATCAGCGACTAGAAAGCCTGAATACAGATCACCTTATCTCATTTTTTTACTGAATATCGGCCGATAACGATCGTTACTAAAACTGTATTTCACACTATGATGGTTAAACTGTTTAACTAATCTGCGGTTCACATGCGTGCCAAACCATTTTCCTCATGTTGTCATGGTTGTGGAAATCAGTCGACATAGATAAAATGATGATATTTTTTCCAATTATTGTCAAACTTTGCGGCCTATAGCGCCCTGTAATTGGTGGGTTCTTCCTAGCTATGATTTATACAGACCTGGTGCTGGAGCTTGAAGTTTGGGGTTCAGT